GACAGGCCTGATACCATATGTAGAAGTAGAATGTTATCATGGAAGTAATTTTGAAAAATTGAGATTTTTTTTGCAAACCAAAACAGGGCCGTTATACGAATTACGTAGTACCCCGGCGGGGGCGAATCCCCCTGTGAAGTAGCGCACTCTGAACGTTCTTAAGACTGTTTTGAGGGGATAAAGTGAAAATTGCAGTAGACGCATTATAAATAATCGCAACAATAATTATATAATAAATCAACAGTGGCGGATCCAGGTATTCGAAAGAGAGGTGAAACAGGGAGGGACTTTCACGGACCGAGGATCCACCCACATCAGCACCACCATGGCTGGGGCTGATGATCAACAGATCACAACTTTTTTTCGCATTTAGGACAATTTTCTTCACTTTCTAATGGTATTGATATTATCAATTATTACTATCGTCATTATTATTATTATTATTATTATTATTATTATTATTAGGCCCTATTATTATTATTATTACTACTACTAGTAGTAGTAGTAGTAGTAGTGTTATTAAAACAATTTTTAAAGAAACTTGCAAAAGGATGAAAACGAAATTGAACCAAACAGTAAAAGACCTAAAAGACCTGGCCTGAGATTTATGGATTTAGGATTATTTTTTTTAAATCACGCTAAGGCATGTGTTCAATTAAGCCTATGTATAACGTGTACTGATGAGTATTTACATGTTTTAGAAGTATTCATTTTGAGTGATCCCAGAAAAGAATTTGTATTGGCTCAAGAACAACCTTTAAAATGTTAGTACTGTACAAAGTACCCCCCCACCTTCAATTTTTTCAAAGGTCCACATTTTTTCTAGTGCCTTTTCACAATGACATGAATGAAAAAGAATTGACGAGGTACCAGCAATGAGTCCAAAGACCTTGCCAATTGCGTGACGCAATCTATCTAATTCCAGCAATTCTGAAACTGAGCCTGCCATCCGCTTCAAGCTGGTGGCGCTGTAATCGATTTTCTTGTCTCCCACTGAAAGGGGCCAAAATTTATGATCATGACACCCAGAAAAAATCCTGGATACAACCCTGTCTTTGCCTCCCCCACCCTCACCAAAACCAAAACCCCCTTTTACGCGCCTACCTGAGTCTACTTGATAATGGTCCGTGCCAAAAAGGGAGAGATTTATTGAACCTGTGAAAAGAAAAACATATGCTAGCATTCTTCATAAAACGTTTGATTTGGTTATTATTATTATTATTATTATTATTGATAAACAATTATTTATTTGAAACTTGTTGAGTATGATAAAATACAGTCAAATCAAATGGAGTTTTCCTAAATAGCAAAATATTGGGATTCTCTTATGGGGATTTGTGGACAAAAAAAAAGAAAATCATCACTCTGTTTTGGCAGGGGGACTCCCGTTTTGGTGACCTGACTCCCGGCCAATTTTTTTTTCATGTTTTCTCACATGCTCTCCCAGTTTACAAAGAAAATTGCATACCAGGCGTACTAAATCCTTATTGTATTGTCTTCCTTGCAATAAAATAATACGAAAAATCCTTAATTGAGTTATCTTTCAATAGTTTGCTCGGCAACACTACAGCACAGCCTCTCCGTGAGTGGTGCGAGAGATGTGGATGTGAGCGCTCCAAATTCACGCAAAAAGGGGTCCGGTTATGATTCCACACGAGGAAATGCAATAGGTTGAAATTATTACGCCGACCGAGTGACACCAATTGGGGTGTACATACGCCCCTTGACATAAAGAGTTTTTCCGCTGGTGTCGGAAAATTTATTTGTAAGATATTTAAGAAAGAACTTGGAAGATATTACTGTTCCTCATTCTTTTGTATAGTAGCGTTTGGTCATGGTTGAGTAATACCGGTTCATGACGCTTTGGTGGGGCAAGTCGACCAGGTTTTATGTGCACATGAAGTGTCGGTGATATAATCTGCGCGCATCGTCAATAAAATCGATCCGTTGCGAGCTCTCGTCACGTTGGCGTTCTCTAATATCGCGTCGGCCGACGTCACGTTGTGTTCGTTTCACCTTGCCGACAAAAACCCTGTGCTCAGTGGCTTTTTTGTTGTTTTCATTACTAGATATTCGATGAGGTGATGTAATAATAAACATTATCTAAATGAGTCTCTAGAAGGCTTCAATAGATTCATTTTTTGACATTAAATATGTATAAAAACTTTACAATATCACACTGCATATGTAATCTTTCTGCGTCAGATAATTTCCTCAATAGTTATATGAGTGAATGATCACGGAGGTCTGATTCACAATTGAGTACAATAGTGTACTTTGAGTCAGGTATATGCAGTCAGTAGTTTAACTTGGTGAAGCGTGGTATAACGTGAACCATTATCTATGCGTGAACCTAACTCCCTCGTCTTCCGGGCACCGTACGACACGAAATAAGGTTTGGTGTTGTTAAGGTCTTGTTTTCTTGGTATATTTAAATATACTGATTTTTGGAGTCTTTCTATGGCCGTATACTTCTGTGACCATTCGTCGCTAATTGTTAAGTTGTCTGATAGGTCTACCTCGATGGTCAGAGTAATTTGAAACTGTACAAGACATTTACTGTAATAAACCTCTTTTCTTACTATTATGGCCATGGCTTTGCCTGCTGGTGGACCGGACGGGATATTAAACCTGAATGTCGGGGGAATGCATCTATTCAACACGTCGCTCTACGTTAACGCGTTATCCGGATTCAATGCTAGGATCAATGTTCAGCGGCTGCTTGCCATCAACTGAATCGCTACATCATTGACGGCGATGGTCCAACATTCCGACACATTCTGAATTTCCTCCGCCGATCAAAGCTTATACTTCCTGACGGTTTCAAAGAGTGGAATATTCTATCCGCTGAGGCAGACTACTACAATTACAAGAGCTCATTCAACTTATCAACGAAAAACGTATTCCACAGCCCGATACCTACGAATATGTGGAAGTAGAATCATTTTGTCATGGTCCTACTCAAAGATCATTGCGAATCTTTTGCAAACCAAAACTAATCGAGCAATCGTTAGCAACTACTATTAATCACAGGATAAATGAAAACATAGAGATAGAATACGACGTTTCCTTGTATAGTACCTTTAGGGCAGAATACTTTGGATATTCAATTGTTGACCACCAGTCAGGACATCCATTTCATGTAAATGGACTGAAGTTGTTCAGAGACATAACCAATTTTGGCTTTACGTTGATATCGACGTCCTCTATACCATTCAGACCTAATAATGAATACGGGACTAGTGTGCCTAATATTAGAGACAAGTGGACGTTTTCAAGAAAAGAAGTTGAGGATAACTAAATAGGCCTCACATCTTTTGTGCCTTAAAACAATTATTCCTTATTTCTGTAAAAAGATAGAGAAATTAAATATGCTAGCTTTGGTAAAATGTTTGATTTGATTATCATTATTATTGATAAACATTTATTTAATTGAAACTTGTTGAGTATGATAAAAAATGTAGTAAAACTCCAAATAGAGTTTTCCTAAATAATTAAGGATTGGAATTTTCTTCTGTTGATTTGTGGACAAAAGCAGAAAGTCATCTTTTATATAAGTTATATTTTGAAGTAAACTGAAACTGAACCTTCGGGTAATTGTGAGTCATCACCTTTGTTAGGCTAAAAAGGTTAGTCGTTGATGATCTTCCCGTATCAGTATGAAACTGCTTGAGAGCTCTAAGTTGTAGTAGCTTTTCATTCGTATGTTAGAACATGTATTTCACAGGCGGAGTAGGTTAAGGAAATATGAGGGGGGACGATATCGCCATGGTTTTGCTTTGAAAGTATATTGAATGCACCAAATAATAAAAGGAAACTTTTGACATGATTTCTATGTTCCAGTTTTTGTTTTTGTTTTTTTTTATATCTCAATTTACAATAAATCAAAAAGTGTTACTCTAAATGTTCTGTCCACACTATCAAATTTTTAAGTGACAAATGTGTGATGTGCCCATATATGGGCGTGTCACATTGTCACATATAATGTCATAGTGTGGACAGAGCTTTAAAATACACTCACTTCTTTCGTTTCTTTCCAACACAGAATTCAAAATATCGGATTGTTGCACAATATATCGAAGTTAATTTTATGGAAGAATTTGGAAGATATAATACTGTTGCCAATTCTTTAGCAGCATAGTAGCGTTTGGTGTTTGGTCATGGTTGAGTAATGGTTGAGCAATGCCCTTTTTATGCAATAATTTTAATAACATTTTATACCTTTCTATTTTTACATTTTTTATATTTTTTTTCTGCAATTTTATTCTCTATTTTTATGGGTCCTTTGTGCAATAATTTTTAATGTAATTTTAATAATTTGATTTTATTATTAACTTCGATTTATGTATTTTCTTATTGTCAATTGTAATAATTTGTATTGTACTTGAATATTACTAATTTAAATATATATATTTTTATTACTAATTTGTATATATTTTTTCAATGTTTTAATTTTTGAGCAATGACTATTCTCAATGTAATTTCCTTTTGGACAAATAAATTTGAATTGAATTGAATTGAATTGAATAATGCCAGTTCATGACTCTTTGATTGGGTAAGACGAATTATATTGGAGTGTCGGTGGTGATCTGAGCGAGTGTCATTAAATACGATCCCTTGCAACGCTCCTCATCACGTTAGCGTTCCATAACATTGTGTCGGCCGACGTACGTTACGTGCCGTTGTGTTCTCTTCACCTCAGCCGACTTCGCCTTATTTTACCATACAAGAATGAACTCATAACTTCACTTATATCCAATGAAAAAGGACAAATCTGGTGTCTAACTATATGTTATTAGCGTCATTGAAGCCAATGAGACAGGTTTCCAAACGTAAAATTGCAGCCATATTGAAATTCAAGATGACCGCCTTAAAAATGGTCAAAAATTGAATATTTCAGTATAATTCCACATCTTTTCTATGGAAAATGGTAAATTTGGATCTAATCATATGATTTTACAAATAGGAATACAATAAGTAATTAAAATTGAACCGATATAAAAATACAATAAAAAAAATACAAAACCTTACAGTATGAATTTTATTTAATTTACAATTAATACAATAATATTTTACAATTATTATAATTATTTACAATTTTGTTGTGCACTGAGAATTAAGTTAACTGTTAGTGCGCCACCTATCGGTGCATCGTCGTTGACGACCATCTTACAATACAGAAAGTTTGTTGTGTATTTGTTTGTGTTGTTTGAGTTCCGGAATTAAAGTAACTCACGCTGTTTGAAACCTATGTGTGTTATTTATTTATTGTTCGGAAACCTTCCAAGAACATAACAGTGGCGACGAGGACGTTTATTTTCATCATTTATCGTGAGTACTGTTCGAAGATTTTTCGCTAAGCCCAGGGCTTAGGCTACCTACCTGCTTCTACATAGTTACCGTGCACGCTATACCGTACCGTATTCACGAGGATGACTGCTCCGGACACGCAAACACAATTACTGGCCATGATGGCGGAACAAAACGAGTTACTACGCTCGCAACTTAAAACCCAGGGAGATCAAATGCTAGAACTGCTGACTACGTTTAAACAGTCACAGTCTCAACAGCAACAGGTCGTTACTCCTATTACTAACATGACTCCCAAGTTTACACCATTTGATCCTACAACTGAATTGTGGACTGACTATTGGGCTAGATTTAAGACATTCATTCAAGCGCATTCTGTTCCTTCTGATAAGGAAGCCCAAGTGTTTCTGACTAACCAAAGTAAGGACATTTATAAGGTAATTTCAAACCTAGCTGCCCAGGAAAATCCTCCGATTGAAACAAGTACTTTGACATTGACCAAAATTGAAGAATTTATGAAGGTTCAATTCGATTCTAAACGGTTTATCGTCAGAGAAAGATTCAAGTTATGGTCTAATATGAAACGCAAACCAGGCGAGCATGTCAATGAACTTGCTGCTAGAATAAGGCAGAAAGCTGCAACATGCGATTTCATGAAAATAAAAGATCCATTGGATGAAGCACTGCGAACAAATTTTATGTGCAGTGTCAGCAATGAGGCCGTCCTAAAAGCTTTGTTCAAAATAAAGGATGATGATCTATCATTTACTAAAGCCATACAAGTAGCAGCAGAAGTTGAGGATGCAGCCAAATATGCAAAGGAAACAGTGTATGGACCTTCACAAACTACATCAGTGAATAAACTTCAACATACTAAGACCAAACCTGAGGTAAAGAAAACCCAACGTACATGCTATAGATGCGGTTCCAAACAGCACTTGGCAAATGTATGCAGACATAAAGCTTCAACATGCAATTTCTGTAAGAAAACGGGTCATTTGGAAACAGTATGCCAACAAAAGAAGAAATCTACTACCATGACGAAAATTATAATTAATTCTGTCAATCAGGTAACCATGCAGCAGATTTACAGTGATGTGTACATTGGTGATAAAATGTACAAATTTGAAATTGATACAGGTGCAGGGGACAATTTCATGTGTAAGGAAGTATGGGCAGACTTGAGCAAACCACAGTTGTCCAAACTTGATGCTAAATACCTCTCAGCATCAGGCCATAATCTTCCAGTCCTCATCATGTTCTCAACTGTAGTGAAGAACAGCAGTAATCAATCAGAAATGATTCGTTTCGTAGTGTCAGAAATGCCCGGACTTAATCTTCTGGGCAGAGAAGCTATCTGTAAGCTTGGAATTTCAGTAGATGCTCTATTGGCAATGTATAACAAGCCTATGGATCACCCAGTACATACTATTCACAGCCCTGATTCTCATCCAGATGAATCACTTCAGAATGCTTGCATTCAGATGTGCGATGAATTTTCAGATCTATTCAAACCAGAGTTAGGTTGCTTGGAACATTTACATAACCTAAGACAGCTTCTACAATGCTTGCAGGAGAATGGTCTAAGATGCAGGAGGGAGAAATGTGAGTTTGCACAAGCAGAAATTGAGTACCTAGGACACAAACTATCAAGTCGAGGTGTTGCGAAAGGTCATAAAGTGGAAGCGGTACTTCAAATGCCACCACCGACAGATGTCTCAACACTGAGAGCGTTCCTGGGGAAATTGCAGTTCTACTGTAAATTCCTACCAAACCTTTCAACCATAGCCAGCCCTCTGAACAGGTTGACCAGAAAGGATATAGCATGGGAGTGGGGTATACCCCAAAAGAGCAACAAGCATCATTTCAACACTTGAAGAACTTGTTATGCAATGACACAATTCTTAGAACTGTTGAAATTTATTCAAGGCAAAAATAATAGAAAGGGCTTCCTTCTGAATTTGTGCATACTTGCGTTGGCTGTCATTTAGTGTTTTTGAAGCATAGGCCAATGTTTCTTTCACTCCCATCGGCATAACGATGAAACAACACTACTCCCACGCCGGTTTCAGAAGCGTCGCAAGCAATACCAATAGGTAGTGATGGACGAAAGTTCATCCTAGTAACAGATCACAAGCCCTTGATATCACTATTTGCACTTGATACACCGACACCAACTCTAGCTGCAAATCGTTTAGCCCAGTGGGCTCTAATATTGAATCAGTATGATTATACCATTGAGTATCGGAAGACAACTGATCATGGAAATGCAGATGCGTTAAGTCGGTTGCCAATGGCACCGGACAAAGATTTTGACAGGGAAGAGGATGATGCAGAAACAGACACAGTCTGTATGATAAAGTCAATCAATCTCCAATTAAACAGCAATGCTAAACTGTTGCAGAAAGAAACCCTTAAGGATCCAGTACTGACAACTGTGATTAGATACACCAGAGAAGAGTGGCCTTTTTGGGAGATAACCGTTACCCAAAATACAGAGGGGTACAAGGTACAAGATTTCAAGAGACCGAAGGATTCACTTATTGTAACAAATGGATGTCTACTGTATGGAAACAGAGTGGTGATACCCTTCAAACTACGTTCACATGTCTTGGAACTGTTGCATATTGGACACTTTGCTGTTTACTGGCCAAATATTGATACCGACATAGAGGACACTTGTCGTACGTGTACACCC